AAATTACTTGCTTAAAAGAGAAAGACCAAGAGGATAAATTCCATGATTACCTCTTGAATAAAGCGATCTCTCTCTTGCAAAACAAACAGCAGCCTTCTAGGCTCTGTGCCCGTCCTATTCACAAGCAAGTTTCTTGAGAGAATGAGCTAGAGTAGCTCTTTCAACTCTCTTACCTGCCTCCCATTTGCTCCCGAATTCTCTGCAAACTGCTTTCCTGAAGATCTCCGGTAGCTTCCATGCCAACAATCCAACTGGCATTTTAGTGCCCTGGTTCATTCCTCCATTTTACGGAGCACCTGACCGATCCTGAGTTCCTGGCACAAAGCTAGCGCACTGGAGGTGGTCATGGAGCTTCTTCATTCAGCAAGCACACACCGGGCTCCTCCAACGCGCCAGGCGCTGTGCGACGTGGGCACTGCTGGGTGGCGGCAGCCACCAATAAAACCTGCCCTTGAGGAACTCACAGGCCATCACTGCACAGTCAGGTACGGGCAGTGAGACTTGAGAACACACGAGAGGGACACCTGACTGCAGCCAGTGGGAGGCAAGGGAGTCCTAGAAGCCATCCCCAAGGACCTGACACTCCAGTCTAAAGGCCAAGGAGGGATTCACCAATGAGGGCACGAAGGAGGATTCTCCGGACAGAAGAATCGCATGTGCAAAGAAACAGTAGAAGCACAGTACAAGATAATACTGTCATAGTCACAGGGCACTATAGTCACACAGAGACTGGGGCATTTGGGGAAGGCCTCCTCAGGGAAGTGACACCTAAACTGAGTCATAAAAGATGCCCAGATGTCTACTAGGGAGGTGAAGAACACCCTGGGAAGACAATGCAGTGTGTGCAAAGGCACAGGGTACGGCACCTTGGGAGAGCTGCGAGCAATATGGGATGATGGAGGACGTGAGGGGCTGAGGACAGTAGCACCTGGGGGATGTCAATGCCATGTTAAGTAGTTTGTACTGAAAGTGACAGAAATCACTGAAGTTGGGGGGGTCCGAGAGAGAGAGAGAGAGAGAGAGGACTCCCCTTTCAGAATGATCATTCCAACTGCTACGTGGAAGGTGCGTCGGAGGAGGCGGGACTGCAGGCTGGGAGACAAGTCGGAGAGCAGGCTGGGGTGAGAAACGACAGATCCTCAACCAAGGTGGTGGCTACAGGGTGGGGAGACAGTTTAGAAGCAGGATCAAAGGTATCAGTATCAAGCAGTATTAACAACACAGGCTTTCAAGTCAGATCTAACGTGAACCCCAGCTCTGCCCTTGACTATCTATGTCACCTTGGGCGAGTCATTTAACCTGAGATTCAGTTTTCTCACCTGGGAAATGAGGACAATAGCAAAGCCTACTTCACAGCTACTGAAAGGATGCCATAGCATAATACATGCGAATGACACAGCCCAAGACGGAGCACACAGGGAACTGCCGCAAATGAGAGCTCCCATCCTTGTTATCATTAACTGTTAATACACTTGGTTAGCCAGGTGCAGGTTAACCAAAGAGGACACAGGACCCCAGGGTTTCTGGCCTGCTGTTACTAACAGAAAGCAGAGACAGAAGTAGGCAGATTGGGAGCGAGGCCTGGAGGAGGATACGTTCATTTGTTGAGTGTGAAGGGCCCACTGTTGGAAGAGATGATCCTCTGTGGGTCCCGCACTCTCACACATCTTGCTGTGTGTGGCCAAGAATGCAAGGCCCTGACCGCTTTTTACCGGGGCCACTAATCAGTGTTGTGTTTGCAGCAAGCCACGTTGAGGGATGAGGTACTGCCTCCCTGTAGGACGAAGAGCAGTCTTGCTAACTGCTTATATAAGCAGCAGATTCCCCAAGCTTGGTGTTTCTCCACTGTGACACGAGCCAGCTGCATGTGGAGCACCCATCTGGGCCCTGACGGGACTTTGCCCCTCGGGACTTGGAGGCGAGGGGGACTGGTGCGAATACGTTGATGCTCACGCTTCTCGCTGTTCCCTGAGTGCTAAAGTCTTAGGTTTCTGACCCCGGAGTCTCGTGTCTTCTGCCAGCATCCATAAATCAGTGACAGGTTCGTTTATTGGCTTATACGTTGGAAAGAGAGACTTGGAGTTTTCAGTGTGCGCAAGTGAAGGATGGGGGTAGGGAAAGGATCCCCCAGGGGAACTCAGGAAGGAAACCTAGAGGCCAGTGGCTCCCTAAAGCCAAGGGAGTAGAGTTTCATCAAAACAGAGTAGGCGACAGCATCAGGTGCTGCTGAAAAGTCAAGTAAGATGAAGACTGAATGTGGCCACTGAATTTAGCAACTAGGTCACCGGCCAGAGGTATCTCAATGACGTAGTGTGGCCAGAAGCCAAACGGAAGCAGGTGAGGAGTGAATGCAGGTAAAGAAGGAGAGACAATGAATATAAGGTATTTCTATAAACTTAGCTGAAAAAGAAGAGAGGTGGGCAGTGGTGACCAGAGCAAATGGGGCCAAATAAAACTTTTCAAATAGAGAGAAGAGATTTGAGCAGATCATATACTAAGGAGAACAAGCCAGAAAAGAGAGAAAAGTTGGGGGGAGATCAAGGGCAAGGGGAGGAGGATGGAATCAGGTCTCTGAAGAAGAGAAGAGGGCTGACTTTCAGATCCCTGGTGAGGGACTCTGCTCATCTCTCCCACTGAGATGGCATTTGGCCCAGGCACACACCCTCAGGTAGGCCACCTGCTAGCTGGGCTGTGCAGTGCCTCCAGGTGGGTGGTGCCTACTGTCCCTAGGGAGGGGCAGGTCAGCAGGTTTCCTTGGTGGCACCTTGCCTGGTGGTCCTGCAAGCCACAGATGAGAGACACAGAAGTACTTCCCAACCTGGGTTCTCTGGAGATGCCAGCAGGTGTGTTTTGCACACAAAGCATTCAGGAGTTTGGCAAGTGCTGCTCTGAGCTCTGCGAAGCCAAACTGTAGGAAGACTGAGTGTTCTCTGCAGGCACAGATGGACATTTGGGAGTGGGGTGTCTAAGGGGAAGAGAAAGCCTGCAGGGGGAGACACCAGGCCTCATCCTCAGGGTACTCGGGGATGACAGAGAAGAACTGTATGGGCAGATCCTGTGGTCACAGAGTAGGAAAAGGAACTCTCATTTGCAGAATATCTGTACTCTGCTTGGAGTTTATATTAATATATTGACAAAGATTCCCTGCTTGACCTAACTTTACTCAGGCTCCTGAACCTTCTCCCAGGCCCACCTGTGCCCTTCCTTGTAACACCCAGTCTTAGCAAAGAGCCCTGCTAGGTCAGTGTAGCCAGACCCCTCACCCTGGACAGCTGGTCACCCTGGATATCTGCCCGGGCTCCTCATCCTCCACCATCCCCCACATGGTGTCTGGCGGCCTGTCTTCAGCAAGAATCTTATTAGGCCGGTTTGGCCAGAATCCCCCTCACCCTGGTGTTTCCTCTTAGGATTTTCCACCCACTGACCCCCGCCCTGCTCTAATTCCCACTTGCCCAGCAGTGACTGGAGTTGAGCCCAATCTCCCCTCCACTGAGGAATCCCTGCAGCGTCCCCACACCTATCCCGATGATCCCGAATGAAGGCTTCCCTACAGTGCTCTAACATGTGCCGTCGAACGATTTTTTCTTTAACAGTGTCCACCTATTTTACTCTCCCACTTCTTGACATATCCCAACCTGACAGAGGAAGAACCAGGACTCAGAAGCCGAGGACACGTGTGACACTCAGTGCTCAGTAAGCGGTGGAGCCCAGCGGTGATCTGGGATCCAGCACTCCTGCCCCTGTGGCCCACATGTCCTTACCCCTTAAGGAGCACCCAGGGCCTGGGTCAGAGGCAAGCTGCACAACTGCTGCGCCTGCTGCAGCCCTGCGCTGAGACCAGGTCAGCCACCAGGCCTACCAGGTGGCCCATGGTCTGTGACAGGGACGGTCCCCCATGTGCCTTAGCGTTCTCTCCTGCAAGGCCGTGGTTGGCTTCCCAAGCACCATCAGATCCCAGGGGTCTGGTCCCTTACAGGCTGGGCCTGGCAGAGGTGGCCGGGGAGAACGCCGGCCAGCAGGAGTGTGGCGCTGGGCCTACTTGCTTCGCTGTACCGGGACGACCCCCAAGGACCCTTCTCCAGGGGAGTGAGGGTGAGCACAAGAGGAGACGGGAAACACCTTTCCGGTGCAGACCCTTTGAGAGCCCAGTGGAAGCAGCAGGCCCTCTCCATGGCAGGGCAGGCACACAACACACAAGCTGGCAGTTTCCGGGCTCACGCACCAACCACCACCACCACTCGCGCCCCCAAGCAGACCAGTTCTCAAAGGAGTGTGCACCCGAATCACCTCATGCGCTGGCTAAAAATGCAGCTCCCGGGCCTCAGAGAGATGCTCGTTCAGTAGGTCCGGAGCGAGGCCTGGGAGCCGGCGTTTCCAACCGGCGCCTCAGATGATTTGGGCGCTGACGCCCAGTGGGGACCACTTAGAAAGCCGACTCCGGGCTGGAGGACCCCACCCCCGCGCTCCAAACTTTCCCCATCTCGCCGGGCGCCCCCCGCCCCCTCCCACGGGCCTCACTCGGGCGGGCGGGCGGTCGCGGAAGCGTCAGGGGAACCTGTTGGGGACCTAGAGCGACGGCCCTCGGGGCCTGCCCGCCCCCCTCGCCACCGCGCCACGGCCCCGGGAGGCGCGTGCAGTGGTCGGCGGGGCGCGGCGCCTGGGAGGACGCAACGAGGCCGGCGGCCCCAGCCCGCCGCCGAGGGGCGGGAAGGAGCGGAGCGCGCGAGGCGGGAGGCGCGGCGGCGCGGCCCGGGCGCCGGGC